CGCTTGGCTTGACCAATGGTGATGGTCATTAGTCATGTATACGGAATTAATTGAAATTCTCTCTGTGGGTATATTTGAAAATTGGAAGGAATGTTATATAACATTTTCTAGCAGAGATTCAGTACTTTCCAAAAATGCAATGATGATTTACGCCAACTGTTAAGTTACGAGAGTTATGGCGCTTTGCGTGACCAGTAATGATGTTCAATAGTCCCAATTGGTGTGTATACTGGAGAAAAGTTGAAATTGTTTCTGTCTTTTACGGAGGAGCACGCGTGAAACTGAGATAGTTCTCGCCATCTTCATCGCAATGGAAGGAAGCTATATTCAAAAAGCGTCGGAAAAGTCGTCAGGAGCAAAACAGTACTGGCAAAGAGTTGTTTCTTCGACACGTTAGAGCGTTCAAAGCAATACTTTATATCCCCGGTCACGGCTGACGGCATCCGCTTGTACGGTCACTGAGCGGAACTAAGCAGAGCCACGCGGCCATACGATGAATAATTTGTGAATTTATTGAAGCACACAGGGGAATAATGTTTCGTTCTTGAGATGCAGCTGAATTTTTGGACGTATGTTGCATACCTACTGATTAGAACTACAATACTATAGGAAAATCACTAGTACTAGATTCAAGGAACCTCATTCTTGGGGTTTGCCCCCGTAAGGATGTGGTTTTCTGGTACCATTGAAAAGATGAGGTTCTCCGCTATCAAAAAGACACTGTCAAAAGATTTTCCTTGTTTCCAAAGATATGGCTAAATACGTGAACAGCACTATACTGCTATAGCAAAATCACTAGTGCAGCACTCAAGGCAGCTCACATCAGTCCTGAGTTTTGCCAGTAACAATGTGTTCTCTTTGTATCACAGGAAATCTAACGTTGTCTGTTATCGGAAAAGTATAGATATTGTCGAGGGATTCTGCTCGTTCTAGTATAGCATTTAAGGTACCACAGTTCCAGTTTTGGCCCATGGACCTCCGGTTGGAAAACTCTGATCTACAGGAATGAAGCTTATCCAAAGTTCGGGTGGTTGATTGCAGCACCGATCGCTTTAACGGACATATTCACCGCAAGATTATTTACAACTCTGTGAAAAACAGCACTCGCTTGCAATTTTCGTTTACGACGGCTAATTTGAAGTCTTAATACCACCCTATTAAAACAGCTGCCAATAGGAATGCCATCAACAATCTTTCATTACTTAATTAAGTTCACCGATTACTCATGTTACGTAGGTGCCATGTGCGACCACATCGAAAGCAATGATAAATACTTATCACTCCAAGTCTATCACATAGTACGCATCTCGTCATATGCGCATACAATGATGAACGTACAATGCGTCAACATGGGCCTACGACAAATGACCAAACGACAATTGTAAGCACGACATTTATCCAGCACGTGGTTGGTCATACAAACTTCGTTTGGGTTCGCTTTTTGGGCAGTGCAAACGCATGCTCGCCATTTTGTGTGTGTGGTATAAAACGCGTACTACTGAAGCTTGGCCTCAGCCTAAGCGTAGCCTCAGCCTAAGCCTAAGCGTAGTCTCATCCTAAGCGCAGCCTAAGCCTAAGTCCAAGCCTAAGCCTCGGCTTCAACCTAAACGTAGCCTCAGCCTCAACCGAAGCGTAGCCTCAGCCTAAGCCTAATCGTGAGGCTGAGGCTACGCTTAAGCTAAGGCTGGGCGTCAGCCATAGTGCTGTTGTGCTCGTCAAGCGATACTAGTGCCGTAAAACAATGATAAACATACTCGAAATATATCATGTAGTCCGCGGCGTTTAATACTGCACATACAAAATGGTGAGTTGCTCAAAAACATTGCTCAAAAATCGAACCGAAATGAAGTTTGGGTGACCGACTAGTACGGAGCCAACTGTCGCGAGTCCATTTGTCGGGGGTCCAATTATTGGTCACCCTTTACCGGTTATCGGTTTTTCGGAGAATTCCGATTAATTTCTTTCTGGAATTGTTTTTCTTTGCCTCTTCTAACAGAAGGGCTTCTGGTGAAAAAAGTCTCCTTATTCAACGGGCACGAACATGTTGATGTTGGACGATTTATAGCCTCATTTTGCTGGATTTATGTCCCCTTTGAACGCAATAGGTTGTCGGATGTACGATTAACGAATAGACTGGCTTTTCCTCAGCCAAGTTCTATATCAGCAACAGTACCGTCGAAATCTGTGCGTTAGCCTTATCAATGGGTCAAGCGTAAGCCTAAGTTTAAGCATACTCCCGGTTTGACTTCGACTTGCATATTTACACATGGACAAAGCGGTAATCTAAGCGCATGCACGCAGCGACGCCCGTTATCAGCAAAAGTGGCAATATTGTTGCGCTTAGGCTGTCATGCCACAATAGCAATGCATTAAAAACAATTTACTTCGGGAGGGGAGGGGGGTCGATCACGGCACGCGATCACGTTCGCGTATGACAACAGATGCTACCCTAGTGCGCATGGACTCAGCCTAAGCGTGACCTTAGCCTCATCTAAGCGTAGCCTCGGATGCCTCGATGTCACAACGAGGCTAGCAGGTGAGTTCAGGTTTAGGCTTAGGCTGAGACTACACTTAGGCTGAGACCATGCGCAGTAGGCGCGGCCTCGGTTCATGTGAAAGCGTCGCTCATAGTGTGCGAGTGTATGTGTGTATCGTTGTACGACCCCCCAAAGTAAACAAGTGGCCAAAACAAGAATGTTTCTTGCGTCGTGACACCCTGTATGTGGATTATTCCCAGTGTGCCGTTAAGTAGCAGTTGCAGAGAATGCCTCAACCGTCATATAAACGGGTGTCATCGGAGAATGCGCTCAAGGATCAAAGCGAAGTTGCCGTAAGTTGCTCTTCAGTCTTTCATTTCGCCTTGCTCAACATGCTGCGCGATTACTGATTATATCTAACAAAATTACCGCAGCGTATAGTATTCAATTCAGTATTATGCAGAGAACTTGAAAGTTAAGAGTTCATTCTTCCACGTATATTTCTAGGTGTTCAGTGAAGCAGCAATGCGTCACAATATCGGTGTATTGGAATATTCGAGAACATGTCAGGCTGCGGCAACTGGCATGGCTAGCGGAATTCTTGGTCTTACTGGTATTCCGGGGTTCGTCTTCTATTTTGTTCTCGTCTTCATTCAGGTAGTTATTTGTTCCTTTTGAATTTATTTTTCATCGATTTTCTGTCCAACTAATCAACGGAAGCATATATTGTCTATTCAAACGCATATTTCAGGCATTAATTTGGGAACTGAAATCAGGATTCGAATGGCACAGCTATTTTATCAGTCGGAGCCTTTCGATAACACATTCGTTGATATCTGGTCTCTTTACGTATATTCTTTTTTGGGTATTCCTCTATGGAATGGTTCATGTTTATTGATCGAGTTTTGATAACTTTTTCAACGTTTCGTTTATTTTCTCTAGAAGTTTCACTTTTGTGTGCATTATTACTGTTGTTTGTGCATTAAATAATCATCCAGAAATTGGTTGTTCTAGACTTACTATTAGTCGTTTTTTACAATGAGTTTTTCATGGAAAAAGCGTCTAGTTAAATGTTAAATTGTTAAATTGATGTAGTGAAATTTTTCTCCTCGCATTGTTCGCTGTCGAATTTCTTCAAAAAGTTATAATAATTTGCAGAATGATTCTATGAAGGTGGCATTAACGCTTACAATTGTTCATTCATTCGAATTCAAAATATTTTTCCATCAATTAGCAATCAGAATCCTTAGATCTTTTCAAATATTTTATAATAAGTAACTGTTCCACGGATTTTTGTTGTTCGATTGATTGATTTTGTGATGCATCTTAATTTATTCTTCTAAGTTTATAATTCTACTTTTCGTTTTGCTCGTGACTCAGTTCACACCATTAGTGGGCATGATTTGGAAGAATCTTGAATCATAAAAACCAAATATCTCCTATCCAGAAGCCAGTATCTTTAGTGAGTGAAATTTTGACAGCGCTTTAAATTTCCCTAGCTATAAAGCAAAACAAAACGTTCACGACATCCTGTTATATAATTCACCGTGTATGAACTTCGATCGGAAGAGATGTTTTGCGTTCGCTTAGAACGGTTTTGTTATTTGCTGACTTTCGGTTATGAGCCGGTAGAGATAATCGACTCAAATAATAAATTCTGTTCTTAGTTTTGGTTGTGCAATGTAATGACATTACTGAATGTATATGTGTGCGGTGTGTGTACATGAGCTAATGCGCAATTTTTGTGTTTGCGAACTTAAAAATGGAATATTCGTAATGTCCATACGTTAATGGTAATGTCGTTCTTCGTTGACTGCTAATAAATGTAAATATTATTCATCTCATTTGCTTCTTTAATCATTAGCAATATTCGTTTCATCGAATGGTTTTACTTTCTCATCGTAAAGTTTTCTTTCGTTTCGAATGTGTTTATGGGATTATATCACCAATTCTTTTTTCGACAGAAGCAGATCTTCGATAAGTCCTTTTAACTAAGATGCTGATATGTTCCTGTGGTGCATTCATGACATGAACATAAAGTAGATATTATTTCATAGTTCATTCTTTCTCAGAGGGAAACTGTTCGCTTAAGAGTGGAATTCCTCATCAGGTCCAGCATATTCACCAGAGATCAGAGATGGTTGCCGACTCATACACATCAGAATCATCGTTCTCAGTCATGTATAAGAGAAAAGATCTCACGAGGTGAATTCAACAGCCCTACCTTGTACCGGTACTATCGCATTGAGGCGAGGGTTCATTGCATTTGATAACTACGTGGTAGGATGGAAAGTGAACAAATGCGTAATATCGAGTTTACTGGATGACATAAGAACGTCTGGAAAAGATGTTTTATGTCTTGACAATTCAATTGTTTTCAGGTGAATTTTCAAACAGGTACTTAGTCCTTCCAATGCTACCGAGAACGTCACAAGAGAGCGATTAAACGGTAAAGGAACACCTGTTAGGTATGCTTCAAGGAAGTAGTGATAAAACAAATCGAGTCGATTTGTTGAAACAAATCGAGGAACAACGGAAACAAATAGTTTCCTACGAAAGGAAACTGAAAGGTTGATTTTTTGAAGCTTGGAGAAGTTCAACTTAATTGTAAGTCATGTAGTAGAAATTAATTCGTGTGGGGAATTGATGTGAGAAATTGATGTTCATTTCAGTGGGAATTTGTTTGTTTAGTATACTATGACACCATTTTTGCTTGGAAACTATATATTATGTCTCTAGCATCAGTAATCAAAGCTTTGGTGAGATCCTAGCTGAATTCGTTGTGATAATGTTTGGTTTGAAGGGGATTCATTTTGGATTTAGATATTTCACTGTTCAGTATTTGCAGCCAAATGAGCATATTTGAGATGAGATTACTTCAGATGTTGTTCGTGCTTATAAAGGGTTGAATGCTGAAAAAGATGCTCTCCAAGCAATTGTCGAAGCGTTGAGTAGTCGAGATCCCGCGAGTAAAAATGGTACGTTTTAACAGAAGCCTGGTATATCCATCACTCAGCATTAAAATTATATGATTATTGTCTGATTTTTGTAAATTGCGTTGAGTGATATTTTATATACGTATACTTCATTCATAGTAATATTTTATATACGTACACGTCACACTATCCTTTCGCAATTTCTTGTGCTAAATGAACTGAGAGCAGCGCTCATGGAAAAATAACACTTGCTCAAGTTTAATTTCAACGTTTGACTGAGAATTGTCAATCTTTAACATCAGACTGTCAAAGGCCTACCAAATCGTTCAATCACGTTTCGCCTGAGGTTTGTTCAAATCCAGTTGAGGGATCGCATTTTGAAAATGGCATTTTTTGTGTAGGTCTGAGAATAGCACAACGAAATTCGTTAGGATGATCACGCAAATCCGATTTTGTGAACAATCGGATTTCAGTCGTCATTGCTTTTCGTAATGTAGCACCGTTTCGGAGTTATTGCTGAATATGTGCAACGGTAAGCTTTTGGCGGTTGATTTTGAAATGCTTCAATTTCTAAAATTTTTCAGCCAAGCCATCCGCGAATGTATCCTCCTCGGATGAATCATTTCAGCGAACCGAGGAAATGGCTCAAAATGAGGGCACGGAAAGTGATACAACAGAACAACCTTCAGATGTAAGCTTTTGATTACATAAATTGCTATGTTGTTTCTTATCGAGATTCTAATGGTAATACAAAATTACAAAGTGATCGATGTTATGAGATCGATCAATATAAACAACGACATTATGAATAAATATCATCCTTTATCTCACATCATCAATATACTACAATTTTGGGGACGTTCTCAGCTCTGGGGTGATTTTTTGACAGTTGCTTGGAATGCTTGGAATTTTGACCTTTCCTATTGATATGTGCTTGGAATTTTAACGACATTCCAGTGGAGTTGTTAGTATCTACCAATTAAGGTCGACGATTATCGAACGAATATGCAGTTCTTTTACAGTTTGAGTTGAGATTCTCTGAATCAGATGGATACTAAATGAAAGAACAAGGACACTATCAAGAAACAGAGAAAAGTCTGTAACTGAGTCGAGAGATAACCTAATTTTTCAGAATGATAAATTGGAAATGTTAAAGCGATCGATAGTGACGCTAACTAACGAAAAGAATCGACGTGAGGCTGCCTTTCAAGCTGATAAAAGAGCATTATTGGTTGGTTTTTATGGTCAGAGTACATTCAAATTCANCAACGCTGAGCCATGAGATGATAATGGGTATCAAGAGACAAAAACTGCAGCGAAAATATTTCTGTCATTACCATTTTTCCAAGTTTTCTTACAGTGCAATTAGTTCCTCCTTCCTTCAGATGCCACTGGTTGAGGGTTCAGTCGAAAATTTGTCTGAAGTGAATTACTTCAATTGAGCACTAATCATCTTAATACAGTATTTCTCTTATGATTTAAGAGAAATACTGTATTAAGATGTATTAAGCAATACTATGATAATGTACTTGAATTTGAATATACTTGGTTATGAGTGCATTAAGATAATCGTTATTACTACGAATAGACTATCGAGAGTGAAATGCCTGAGTTGTAGCTTCAACTGAAGTGTCAGTGTAGTCGAAGTCATTATTGTCAAGCACTGGTGATCATATCTCAGTTATAATAAGAGAATGAATTCATTTCTCTATATGAAACTACCATCAGCTTAATTTGTTCTAACGATAATCAGTGACTGATTGTTAACGATTGATTTTTTCACAGATTCTCTCCAAAATGAAGTCTTCACAGGTGTTCTTTCAAAAAAGGATCTCATCCGAAATTAATGGAATTTTAATTCGCAGCCTTAAAGTTTGCTTCAGTCGGTTGCAAGAAGAAATCTAGGTGCATCAACTAAGCAGATAATTATTGAAGGCTGAAAACGAGGCGTTGAAAGAGCGAATAGAGAAGTCTGCGAATGAAACCGAAGCACAAGCTGAAAAATTAGAACAACATATGAAGGTTACTATTATTGGCTCTGTCGAATAATGCTATCCTGTCTGTATTTATTGTTATCATTTGAAAAGGTTTCATTATTAATAGCCACAGCTGAGATACAATGGAATTCACATGATCGGAACACAATATGCTGTGTAACTGTATCAATTGTTACGGGCCGTATCGTTAGGGGTCAAACGCAAGCTTACAGTCTTCTTTTAACCTGATGAATATTGTAGCCGTGGACTTGAGACTCTGGGACTTTGTTTACTTGGCTCAACTGAATTGAAAAACATGAAAAAAATCTCTTTTCATAGTGGTTGCTCGCGACGTACATCATTTTTTATTTCAGGACTTTTTAGCAGCAAAAAATAGCCAAATTCAAAGGGCATTTTCCACTTCTATTTTAGTGGGTATAGAGATAAAATAACATAGCAAACACCAAATTCCTGCAGAATTTTTGAGTATTTCATTGCGAAATATGTCTCCTCCAGCTGCTTGCTGCTTCGCTTTAAACAGCTATCCGAAAGCCTAATAACGGAAAGATTCTTCCCTTTATTTTCGTGCAGAGCTACGTAGTAATATTTAAATGAGTCTTGATGTTACGATTACTTGATCAGATACATAGAGCCGGGCCTGAGAGGCTGGCTTTTTTCGATGCTGACTAAGATTTTCAGTGATGCGAGCGTCAATCAATATTTCCGGAATCATATAGGCTAAATTTTCCTTTGTATCGCTAATAACACACAGATGAACCATTCATAAAGTAAATGTACTAGGCATGAGAGTTAGAAATAATTTTTACAAAATTATTTTTTTTACATATTTTTTGTAATTTTAATGCAATTTTAATATGAAGCATAATTGGAGTACGTATGTTTTTGTCTCTTTATGCGTTTGTTTGTTTATCAGCTCTGCATATCGCCCTTATTTCCATTTGTTCCCTCAGCAAAAAGTAGGCATTATATTTGCCAATTTGTCGATATTATTGAACTGAGATATGTGTAAACTCAGTGTGTGGATGGACATAAAAGCGATATATTTGGAATAGGTTTTACGTGCTAAAGTGAAACGAATCGAAGAGGATCGTGAAAGAGAGCTGTCTGATCATGGTTCTGTGTTAGCTGAGATGCAGCAGCGGTATGCGAAAGAACACGCAACTTGTGAACAATTGGAAAGACAAGTTCGTTCACTGCTTGTTTCTCTTCATGAGTTCACCATTGCTTTCAGCGAGCCGAGATGAAACTTTTCACTCTCAAAAGCCTCTGTTCCAAAGTGCTAGAATCGGGATATTCCACGAGTTCATGTCCTTTCCTATCATTGGTTGAGGAGATTCGAGTGGATTTGATTTCATCTTATTCGAAAGTTGACTTTGACTAAATTTGCCAAAGCTTAGAATTAGCTTGGACTTCGGATTAGCGGTGACGTGTTCATGTTAGTGACGTCGTGAGTACACTCAACAATCATTTGTTGAGAAAATCTGATTTGCTTTAGGGAAAGATATGTCGTGGAACTTCAATACTAGCTATTCCATCCGTTCTTTTTGTTTGTGTCGTTCTCAACTGTCAGGAACGGAACCATTTTTAAAGCCTCGATGTGAACGTATAAGACTGACTTTGCATAAAATTTTTCTGTAAGTTGAGTATACTCACGTCGGCGTTTAAGGCACCCTCTTGAAACATTTGAGACTTCAATAATGGTCATCAATGAATCTATGTATTGAGAACTTCCCACTGAATGAATTATTTTCACCAATATTTATGCGTTCGTGTACGTTTTCTTTGAATCGTGTCGTATGATGTTTGTCGTTAGCGTAATTTTGCAGACTTATTGCAATTATATCCAAAATGTCTCGTTTATTTCAAGCGATTGTGTGGATATCGAGTCGTTCAGCGTGATCTTTTCTCAGTTAGGAATATTAGCAACTTTCACAACTGGATGAATGACAGTTGTCAGATGCAGTTGAACAAACGTTTTTTTTNTTTTTTTTACAGATTGCGGAATTATACAAGAAATTAAGGCATCACGAGGAGTATCCGGCAGAGATGGAAACGAAATTGTGTAATTTGAACTCAGAGCTGAAAGCAGCGAACGAAGAAGCATCATTTTGGAAGAAAAAAGCTGTCAAGATTCCAACAGTCCAAATGCTTGAAAGTGAACTGAAAAATCTGAAGGTGATTGAATTTGTGCATTTTCGTAAGCCGTTCACAAGTGGAGAGTATTTGTCTTTACCGTTTATCACATTTCTATCGATAGTATCAGCTTATGGGTATATGCATGATGCATCTTGCTGATATTCACCATTGGGTGCCGAGGTGAGTTCGTTTTCCTTTTCGCGATAAGTGCCTTTTTAGTTGTGATGATAACTGGCGGTCGATAAAATCCGATGAATCTCTGTTTAAATCCTGACATTCCGAGTGTGAGTAGAGAATTTCAAAATTCGGTTCGGGATACCGAATTTCGCAATGTTGAAAAGTTGATTGTGTTGAATGAAGACAGAACCAAAACATCGTTCCGATGCCGAACTAAAATTTCATTACTATTTAGCGAAGGCAAAGCATATCCTTAAAGACTGTTCGTACACTTGCAACACTCTATTGACTTGTTTATCTCATACAGGAAGAGAGTCAACGAGAATTGAACGAATTGAAATCTCGAATCAATTCAACAGACAACCCTGAGCGAGAAGCAAGACTGCATGAACTTGAAGAAAGGTCGAACTATAATCCAGTCTTGAATGAATATTTTGCCTCAAATGTAACACTCCGTCCAAGTTAGGAGGAGTAGCAGGATATGGTTGCGGTGATAGTAATATTAATCGTTGAGCATTGCAGACTACATAATATGACAGCAAAATTGGCTAAAGGAGAGCGAATTCGATTGGAGTTGCAACAGAAAGTGGAAGACTTGCAAGCGAGGAATAATCATCTGCAAGTCGAAAATGATGATCTGAGTCAGGTTTGTTGCTTTTCAGTTTTTGGCTCACGAGTGAGTCCCACTTTTTAACATTTATGAATACAGCCATTCCCATGGATGCGGAAAGTTTGTCTCTTCGACCTCATAGTTCTAGTGGAATTTTATCAGGCGTACATTTGTTCTTGTCCCTTTCAATCCCCAAGAATTTGCCTACACTCTGAATTTGATTGGAATTTACTCACTGTATTTGTCAAACGTCCGCAGTTATGTCTATACAGGGCCTGCTTATATGTATGTGTGGGTGGTAGTATGTTGTGAATCAGCATAAAGAGCATCCGAATGAATGTTTCAGTTTCAAACATTCTTTGAATGTGTAACACAATTGTTCGGTTAGCCGGAATTTGTTTTCAAAAATTGCACTCATGAATGATTGCAAAGATGTACATTAAAGGAATTGGGTGCGAGGCGATTATTAAGTGACGATTCTGGTAATATTGAGTCAGTTCGTGAACGTTTCATCGAATTCGCTGAAAAGCTACGTGCTGCAGACTGTAACGTCAATTTTCATGGTATATGAAGTTTAATATCAATGTTCATGTAACCCCAAGAAACACTCAGACTATCCTTTGCGTATTTCTCCCACTTCTTCCGGCTATTTCAGCTTGAATTCTGGATTCATTTCATCTGGATGTGTTCTGTTATTCGTATATACGATAGTTTATTGCCGAATAAGAAATATGTATAAGCAATAAAACAGCATGAAAGGCGGAGCGCTCTGACATTATGACGGTTGGTTGAATAAGTAAAAAATAATAGCAAATTAAAATAAAAAGATTCAATAAATGGTAGTGACACAGATATAATTCTATGCTGTGATATATGAAATAGTACTATTATGGGACATATTCGATAAGAAGTTCAGCTATAGAAAGTGCGTGAATCAGTAGGGGAATATATGATGGAGCAGTAGTCGAGGATGGGACGGACGTACGTGATGAATGCTTTGAATAGTGTGTGCGGATTGTTTGTGCTAAGTGTGCTGAGAATGAGGTTGCTTCGTGCATGTGCAAGTGCTCCAGTGTGATGAATGTGTTTTGTAAATGACAAATCTTCAGATATGTGTACTCCAAGATCGCAGATGCTATCAGAACTTTTCAAAACATGATTGCCTATGTTATACGAAACTTTTTCATTACGTTTTCCAATGTACAGAACGGAGCACTTGTCGATGGACAGCTCCATCTACCAGGCTTTTATCCATCTGTGAAATTCTTCAATAGATTCTTGCAAAGGAGACCTCACAGTGGTTGGGATATAGGTGACGAACAATTTAGCGTCATCAGCATATAGCTAACAATGACTATGTAAGCATTCTGGTAGATCATTTATATACTTTCATGCTTCCGTAACATCGAAACTTCATTATCGTCAAACATCTTCAAATGATGTGTTATTTTGAACGGTTTCGGTCATCCTATTCCTGTAATGCGCCTTTTTTTTTTGATCTGTTGAAATTGCTGTTGACAAGAGAAGTGATGACTATTGCAAATGAATGGAAAAAAAAGATTTACTTTCTAGTGCGGCAGGTAAGATTTTTGCCAATGATGATATTATTTCTATGGTGGGTTCCAGGCTGACGTAAAATAAAAGTATCTGTCGTGGATTGTACAGGGATTTGAATAAAATCCTGTGGTACCGAATGAATTGTAAAAATGTACATATTCCTGTTATTCAAATCGTTCCATATACGACTCTGTCGCATAAAATGTTTCTTAGTTCAACTGTATGTTCAAAACACTGCAAGTCTTTTTACTTCGCTATTCGGAAACATTTTCATCAGATCAAAATGTAGTAAATTCTCACTGAGTTCACTCATAGTGAGAATTCATTGTTGACGTGAGCGAAAGTGTTCCATTCAAAAGGATCTTAAGTTTGAATATCAAGTACATTTCCATGATTTCTGATCGAAGTTATCATGTATGTAAGTGCTCGATGGTTCGACGAAAATCTATTGCAGATGTTTTTTTTTTCGCTTTTTAGATAAACCCCGAACTTTTAATTTTTCTCAAAATTCAAATGATATAATTCATGCAGTGCATTTCTTTCGTAAAAAATCGAAATTTCCGGAATAGCAGAATTCAGCTGACATTAACAATGATGCTGTGAGAGGAAATAGACTTGAAGCATTGCGAATAAGTGTTTGAGAATCAATTTTTCCATATTTACATGCAAGTGTATTGTTATTTGCTTAGACCCAAAATGGCAAGATGTCTTAGCATTGAAAATGCAGTATGCCCTTGCGGCATGATCATTAGCATCATTATATGAGGTTCTTGGATTTGCTCAATAATTTGTTGAATTAACTCCTTTTTGATTAACAATTAACATATTGGTTCGAAAAAATGTGTTTAAAGATGTTCGCCATCGACATTTCAAAACATGTTCGATCCCGGGATCAAAAATCGATTCTTGGATTGAAAAAACATCGGGATTTTACCAACCCTATCCATTACCGTCTTCAGTAGTCTGGCAGGTCGTCATTACCTCCTCCTGCCGCAGCCAACACAATGGCGTTCCGTCATAATATAACAACTGTACAAAATATTAATTTCCCGACCCCCTCCATTACACCCTGACGTCCCCAATTTACTCAAAAGTGGATAATTCCTCCTCCCCCCCCCGTCTAAGGGGACCCCTGGATTAATATCTTATGACGTTGCAAACTCATGAAATTTCAAGCACTTTTTTTTGATTTTCAGATTTAGCGCTTTATCATTCTTTGAATATCACCTTCAGGTCAACCTGAGATTTCGCTTACTTCTCGTTATCTATTGTCAACTATGGTCGTTTCCTGTCCTTTTTTATAAAACCATAATATATCGCATCAAAATTTAGTTTATTAGATCATATGCGATCATTTATGTTATTTGATACCTATTTTTGACTTGTTGAGATTCATGTTTGTTTTTTTTTCAGAATTACTTAAATTGGAACAACCATCAAAAGAACAAAAAGAGCAATATATGCAGCTGAAAGATGATTTTGAACGTTATAAACTGAAGGCTCAAGCCATTCTCAAATGCAGAAATCTTCCGGTTCGTTCGTTCTCAATGGTTATTTGTCACTGACGTTAATGTGTCATGCACACCTCAGTTGATCTTCACTGAGGTTATTCCAACACATCCAAAGAGCTGTGTTTCCTTGAACGAGGGGGTTAACGGAATCATAGTTGCTCACAGCCTGGATTGTAATGTCTGTGATCATTTGCCCGGCTAGTAAACCATAACTTTTTTTTGCGAAAAATCGGTCGTGTTATATTTGTTATGAAATTTTGCAAAAAACGAATTGATACTAATTCGTTTCTTTTTTTTTCGGAATTGCCGATCGTTTTAGAACATTATCAGTGCATGTAACGAATTTGTGGCTTGTTAGAACAATAATGAAAATTTAACGGTTAGATGAACATTTTAGAGGATACGTCGAATGCGTAGGTTCATCTGTGAAGTAACAATGAAAATGAACGTTTCATAACGGTTCATCACCGCGACATTTTCCATCCATATCAAATGTTTTTGTGAACAGACAAGAAAATTGATTGTTTTTAAGGAAGGATCGTTGGACGGTCATTCAAATTTGCCACTGGTATCATCACTTGCATCTATTAATCAGTGTTCATCATGTGCATCGTCTGATGTTGAATTAACACATATGCGATCTGTCATTGCATCGTTACATGAAAAGTTGCATAAACTAGAAATTGATCATGAAATCGCTAAAAAGGATCATGAAAAAGTATGATTTGAGCGTTCGTTTGTCCAATTTTTTTTGCTTTGCTTTCCTCTGTGTTCCCTAATGCAGAATCGACGTCAAAACGTTCGCACCAAAATAAACTGTTGGGGAACTTTCGTGTGAGTGATAAAGGTAAACTTTTGGAGTCATCTAATTCTCTTGATGGAATATCTTCAGTTGAACTTTGTATGTCATGATGCTTCCAGTCGAAAATTACGCTCGGTTGATTGGAAAACAGAATCTGTAAGTGGAATCAAAACGCAGAAAGAGATCCGTTTCTAAGCACTGTTTTGAAAGGAATTTTTGGTGCGAAGCTCTTGGCTTGTGAACGTTGTTGCTTGCGCCTGATTCATTTCATGAACTGTTAGTTGGCTTGTTCTAGCAATGCGCACGATTGCACACCACAATAGCCGATATGCAGTCATCGCAAGTGAACGCAACTAACGAATTGCGGCATCAAATGCAACAAAAAGGTTCGTTCTGAGTGACTGGCATGTCCTTTCACTTATTCACTCGGTTTGTATTATGGCACTTTCTACGGACCCATTCGTAGGAGGATGAATGGATTTTTCGAATGCCTAAACACTTACATAATTGGCATACCAATTTTCATTCAAATTCCTTAGATTGCCCTTAATTTTTCCAGTAACTGAAGTAGAAGATGAGATGCAGAAGCAACGAGCTCGAACATTACAAGTTCTCGCTGAGAAACAAAAAGAACTTGAGGTGACCAGGTGAGTAAACGCTTTTGAGAGCATTAAATTTGATATGATTTCCTTTAAAACCAATCTATTTGATCTCGAAATTTGGATTTAACAGTTTTTTTAACATGCTACCATCATATAGTGTCTTTAAGAAGGGATTGTCACCCTATTGTTCACAAAAATTAGAGGTTTTCCAAGAAAATCTCCATTGTTCAATTTATTATCCAGTAAACGTCTCCAGTGGTTGTCACATCCTCATCTCATTTGTTTCAGTAACGTTGTTTAGCGGCATTTCTTCCTTATGTGGCACTGGAAAAGTCAGCGAAATAAATCAAAACAGAATTATTATGTAATTCTTATGGATGAAAAAAAAACTTTGTATGATGTTTATGCCGCAGTTCTTATAATGAGTGTTTGAATGTTCAAACAGCTCACAAAAACATAACCAAATTGAAGAACGATTCTGGTTTCGATTAGAGGTCAGCAAATAAATGCTACCGATCCAGTAGACCCAACTCAAGCGAACATGATCAGTGATTGTCCGCAATCGAGGTGCCTTCGTAAGAGTTCGTCGAAAGATGCAGTTCAGTTGAACGACGACGAAAATCATAAAAGTTCAGGTGCGTTTATTCATATGCGCTCTTTTTTTGTAAGCATTCATTCGATCAGCTGGTACTTACAGGATAATGCCAAATGCGGCATAGCTTTTCATTGATTCATTCAGACATTACACTGTTTGTGGAATAATCGTGAACATGTTGATTTTGTGCGCTGAATTGTATAATGGCTCGATGAATTTGTTATCGCGAGTATTTCAAATCATTTTTTCATCGCTGGAAAGAATGGATGTCAGTATGCAAATATCACTGAATCGCAGCATGTTTTAGATCCTGTAGCATACTTTGGACTAGTGAATTAGGTTGATAGCAATTCCGAATTGTGCGAATTATGTTGTGTTGAGTGGTGAAGAAGATTGTTTTCAACTGTCCTGTTTGAGTTTCTTTCTCCCGTTTCCAGCCCCAAGTCGCGCTCACTTGAGGGGAGAAGAGGGATATGTTGGTCCATCGAAGCTACAGATTTAGACTATCAGCCAGGAACAAATTTTCTCATCGAATGACATCGCTAACGATAAATGCAATGATCCCTTTAAATTCCTCAAAACTTTCCTGCAATTTAACGCAATTGTTTGAAATATTTCTGCATCTACTGTAAACCTAATTTTGGGCCAAAGAAACATCTGCAATTTTGGGCCTATTAATTGTTTTCAATTTTTAACTGTTTTCGCTGATGAATTCATCAATTGTCCATTGAAATGAAAATTAATAATCATCAAAATCATGATCAATTGTCAACGGTGCAGTCGTCTTTCATTTTTCGCACTGTTTGCCTCAATTCATGCGTGCTATCTTACAACAGTGTAAGTGCCTTTGTTCAAAATGAACAGCAATCTTATTTCTCGATTTCCCAAATCATTCATTTCATATCATCGTTATTGTTTGATTTCAGTGTTAGTTTCCATTCTGTTCCGAATTCATTTGGTGACAGATGAGTGCTTGCCCGAAAGTTCATGATTTTTGCATCTACCTTCGAAAATCGCTCATTCTGTGTTTGAGAATGACTGAGGTTTTCAGCAGTCTTAAGTGCATCCGCCGCACAATCGGTTTCGTTGGCACCTGTTTCAAATTCGACTTTATCACGTAACATATTCTATGAGCAACAGTTGGCAAAACGCGAAAAAGAACTTAATGATCTGAGGTTAATCGAAGCTTTTAATGTTCACTAATCCGCTTGCATTTACATGAGTGGTTTTCACAAAAATATTTCTTTTTTCATCAAAAAATTAGTTTTATGTGGCTTACAGCGATGAAATGTGACATATTCATAAGCTGTATGTTCCTGAGTTAAATTTATTCACCTCAGTCATTCAGATTTTATTCGACTAAAGTCTGGCTTTTCGTTGCAGAATCGCATTAGAAACATCCGAATCGAATATGCGTGCCATACAACAATCTTCACTGACGAAAGATCTTCAACATTATGAAATAATTGAAAAATTAAAAGACGAAATTAGGATCCTTGAAGGTTATCGTTGAATATTTTTATGGATCGTTTGATTGATTGATGGATTGATATTGATTGAATATTTTTATGGATTGATTTCACTGACTGGTGTTCTTGTTGTTGGGAAAGATTTAATTTACATTTACCGATAGTTCGGGAGGTTTCGGGTAGGGTTACATATGGGTGCGGTAGTAGGAAGTTGCAAAGGTGATCTTCCGTCGTATCTGAAAATGATTTCGCGGATATCGTGAAACTAGAGAATGGCTTACATGAATTGAAATTCTGGCTCTTTACCTATGCCCATTTAATACTTTTGCCTATGCCCAATGACTATTTTCAATATTCTTTTTATGCAGGTAAAGTGAATTTCTACAGTGGTGATGCAAATGTCGAGTATTTGCGTAACGTTTTCGTACAACTTCTGCACTGTGACAGCTCGTCCGGACGCAGGCATATTCTCAAGGCGATCGGTACTGTTCTTAAACTGAGTAACAATGAAATGAAATCATTAGATAAGCATAGCTTTTGTTAATCGCTTCCACTGATGTGATATGCTCTGAGTGCAGGCTGGCGAGTAAACCGAACCGAGCAATTTCCAGTGCTGAAGCAAGTGCATTCAATTTCTTCCAGTTGGCTACCTTCACTAGGTTCTATTGCAGCGTAGAGTGGGTCGAGGTCATGATTAGAAAATCCCTTTTCAATTTGCTCACCAGCCTACCTAAAACATTTATTTCATGTAATTATATATGTCTTAAATGAGGGCATTCTTCATCAATCAACGAAAGTTGTTATATTTGCGTAATTCATATTTGCATGGCTTGCTTTGGCTTTGCTCATTTGCACTATTCATATATTAATTCTACTTGAGAATTTTCTCTGTTCATTTTTACATTTTCGGTTCCTTTTTCATTTTACAACATTTTCACATTTCTCCCACCATTCGTCTGAAAGTTCGAGTTTATTTACATTTTCGGTTCCTTCCCTTTTTTGGCCATTTTTTGATGTTTCGAGTTTGTTCGAACTCAGGTAGTTTCCGTGATGGATCATGTCACATCATGCGCGTTCATGAACTCTGGTTTTATGTACATTACTATTCATATGTATTCCTATGCCTAGCAACTAATTTGTCAATTCCCCAACTCCACTGGAACACTTGCAATACGATTGATTGCATCTTCCCATGAATCCCTCTCCTTAAAGTTATTGTGATCATACCTTATACTGTGTCTTCGAACTGGTAACGGGCCCGTAGCCAGAACATGAAATTTCTAATGTATACTTTACGAATTTTCACTTATGGAATATATATAACTTCTGTCGCAGATTATAATAAGGCATTACGAGTTCAACCAGTGATGTTTGGATATAACGTTATAATTTGATTCATGATCATATGGAACTATTAAAGCACCAAAAGAAATGGAGACATCGATAATAAGTTTGATAACAATCCATGATATGCAAAGCAACTATACTGTACGAATGGGATTGATAATGAGTCGTAATGTATGGCGGAGCGATAAAAAAATAATGATTGATAGGAGAAGTGTGAAATAACGACATGAAATACTGATACTTTCACGATACGTGATCCTGAGCGGATCAAAGTGAATGTATGAAACATGGGAATTCAAAGCATATATCTATCTCACACGGAACGGAAAACTGCCGTTGAGTGCACTGATGCTATTGTTCCATATTGTTAAGCGATGATTTGCAATTCGTAATGTCTGCAAAAGTCAGCTTTTAAACGACCATGTGATTTTGCCAATGAAGCGACTTTTTCGTCGGATCTCGGCATTTCAGATGTATGCAAACGTAAATTACATTCATTCGAGAAAAAAACATTAGCAATCTCTTGTGTAACAACATCTGACCTCTGGGCGAAGCGAGGTAGTTGGTTGTCTGATAGTGGTAAACGACTATTTGCAAAATGGATGAAGCTCTGGATTAATATACTGCAAATGATTCTCTGTGTTTGTCCGTGACAGAAGTTGATTCGAAAAATGTCGTATGTAAAGCACCAACAATCAGAAGTTCACGAGTGATAGTGAAGTAGTCCCATCATAGCCATCTAGGCGAGCCCGATAAACCCTCAACAAACTAGACTAACACCTCCCACTGGAAGGAAAGCATTCGCTAATTTCACTGCATTCTGATGAAGAGCTCCGTCACAGGTGAATTGCAACTTTTTCGAATTGATAAGCCGTCATTTTCAAGTCTGAATGCCTGCGAAAATAGAATCGTGAATGAAGATGCAATTCTGTACATAATGTAAGGACTTTCCGAAATCTTAGATTTTAAAGTGTGCCACACGTAAACTACTCACAGTCAAGACAGAAAATAATCAGCAATTACTCAAGGAACCAAAATTAACCTCTGAATGCATTGATAGCATTGTTTCATAATAACAAGCGATTATTTGAAGTTCTGTGCATTTAGCGTTTGTGAAAATTGAGTTGTGAATGAAGAAGTTCCGTAGAAGAATAGACTTTCTCTGAAATGCGGGTATTAAAAAGTACTTACATGTAAACTATGTAGTGTCAAATACCGCAGTTGGGTACGCTAAAGAAAGAAAGTAACTCCGCCAATAGCCAGTTCGCTAGAAAAATATTTTCCATAAAAATGGTTCATGGCATATCACCACCCCAGCTTTCGTTTTCGCACAATACTGGCCGGGAATTTCATAACATCACAAAGGTCGCCTGTTACCGAATTCCTGAAATCCAATCCCGCAAAAACTACTGATTCACGTAATGATATGATTTTGTTTCAATTGTTTTATTTTTGAATTTATTGATTGTGAGTTTATTTGAATGATTTGTTGAATAAACTGTCTCCTGATTTATTGTGATCACTTTGGTTCAACAATGTGTGTTAAACATGTCGTCCTTCTGTATTTCGAAAGTTGCTCTTCATTCTCGGGACCGTCTTGGGATTGAAAAACTATTTCGTGGTTAAATAGTGATCTCGAGATTGAGAAAATGGCGAGATTGTGTAAACCTCAGTATGATTTATCTGTGATATCAGAGTCTATCTATATTATCGAACTTTCTGAGTAGTGATGCCTAAGTTCCGGAGCCGAAGAAAATTTTTGGCTCATCCAAAAGGAATCATAGCAACACTCAGTGATTGGAGCTAAGAGCTGTACTACGGTTCCGGATTACTCAGGAATCAGGAGAGAATAGAGGAAAGTTCGGATCTGGAGCCGGAGCTGGAGCCAGATTGTTCGAAAATGCGGAGCCGAAGCCGGAGGCAAAAACTGAAGAATGCAAAGCTGGAGCCGAGCTTCCAAAAATGTGGAATTGAAGCTAAGGCCTAAGTCGAACTTCCAGATATATAAAGCCAGAGACGAGGATTTCAAAAATGCGGAGTCGAAGCTGGGAGAATTTTTTTTTAAAACTAGACATCATTGTTCCTGACAACTACATGTGAATAAAAGCACGCTCCATGTTTGAATGTGCCACGGGATTAATTTTCTGAGACAACATCTGAAAAAGAACTGCCAGTGGTGTATTGTAAATGATTGAGTCATCACCTGAAGAGGACGTTCTGCCAATCCACCGATGAACAAACTCTTTATCAATCCATACCACTTCGTTTCATTGATAAAATCTGGTTTATCAAAATAAACTAATCATACTGATGATGCAGTTTATTCGATCGTTATTGATGAGAGTTACAATACGTTATCGTATTGTTATTTTGTTGATTACAGGCCGTTGTTTTGATTGCACATATTGACACATCTATATAATTGATTTACGCAACGAAGGGTACGTCTAAACTTGTAAGCTATGATTTCGAAGAGTCACACTGACCTGTGATCGCTCAGTTTATACGTCAAAATCTTGTCACGAACAGAGCAGAACGGTAGGAACACGTTAACGTTGAGTGCAGTTCAAAAATAATAGCGTGTAAATGACACATATAACACCTCTACGCTCTTTTAGTGTCTGCTTCTGTCGTGGTGAAGTGGGTGAGTGGGACACTCTGACAGACGTTTGGAAATTGTTGACGGTATCAACAACATGAAATCAAAAAATTAACGTTAATTGAAAAATGAGTTATTATTATTGTCATATGGTGGTTGTTGATAAAGTTCAACCTGTTATTAGTGGATTTGATCGCACATTCTTGTCAGGTGTTATATTTGACACGCATGTGATGAGCTGCTATGCTTCTGTTTTTGTGTTACTTCTAGAAAATTGATGTTGAAAAAAGTTGATTAATTGTGTGACCTGAGGTGCTGAAAAGTGGAGTTTGTTTTAGACAAGAAGAGTTTACGCGTATTGCTTGTTGAGCATGATCGCAATGAAAACTTTTTAATAATAATATTCGAAATTGTTCTGAAAATATTTTAAACTTGAAACTATTTTGGCAATCAGCGAGAAGAATCATTCTCGACCTCAGCTGCATTGAATTTGAGCGATTGATTCGTTTTGAAAATTTTTCATTTACCGTTGGACGAGCGTTTGTATGTTTGTGCGTGAGCATAATTGTTAATAGATGATTAAGTGATCGATTCTGGCTTTTAGATTCTGGAAGATGATAGATTTGTTCACTATTTTCGGTAAAGGTGGCTTGGTGCTGTGGTGCTTTCAGGAAGGAGGTCAACTTTTCACCGATTCCATCAATGAACTGATCAGAGAAGTTCTCATGCAGGTTCGCTAATTTCTATTTCACTCTATGAACTGACTCAGCGGGCACATTGTAAATCTCGTATAGATTTAATAGCACATACGGGTTTATGCTTTGTGAGTTGGTTCGAATTTGAGCTCAGGTTTGCTGTCAGCCTGTGCTTAAGTTCGCATTTGGGTTCAGGCTTAAAACGACATGAAAGATGCCTGCTCCTTTGTACTGCTGCTGTAATCGTTCGAGATTTACAGGTTCCTAGTTGAACTTTCGATTTGCTTGCATTGTGCCTGGGGCAACAACTCTCTAGTAGTTTGCCGTTGTCAGTGAATAAGCCCTAAAGAATCTCCTAAATTCAGGAGCGCGGTGGTAGCACTATTTTCAAGCATAATAATGTATCAATCAAGTACAAGCTTGATAACGAATTCGAGCTTGTTTTTCTGGTTCGTTATTTTCGTTCCGTTTGAAATTGTAAAATTTCCATTCGTAATTTATTGTGAAGGTGTATATGCATCATATTCCAGTATCTTTTCCCAAATAAGACGTCTGAACATGAATGAACGTCCGTTTTGCTTTTTTCCATCGTTGTGTATTCATCAAGAATCGAATGTGTTTTCCGTAATTTTGCAATAGTACGAACTAATTGTTTTTGGTTTGAGATTGAAATTCTAAATACGTAGCGGAATTTAAGGTCGTTTATCAGAGTGCAATACAGTTATCGTACGGTGATCAGTTGATATCGGATGTGCAAAAGAAATTTCGTGATATGTATAAGAATGTGCTGTCAGATAATAAAGCACTTTATTCGTCAACTCCAAAAACATTCGAACATTTTACCGAACAATTCGATAAGTACGCATTGTTTTTCAATTTATGCTGCCTTATAAACATGTTTGATTCGATTAATTTTCGCTGTTCTCTCTGGGCTGGAGGTCTTTTCTTCGCATGTATTGTAAACTTTGAGATTTTCGTGCGGAACTTCAAAGGAATGTCGTTTTTTTTNTGAATTTGAACAGACCCGAGAAAGCAATGCGCAAATTTGAGGTTTCCAATTAACAAATTCATTTCTCCTGACAATAAGCTGTCAGCTCATTGCTCTTATGTTTGATATCTGAGAAATCGTTCTTGCTGAGCTCTCATTCACGAGTAGAGATGTATTGTTTCCTACGTGTTTGATTCGCTCTCATCTATATGACAATTTACTGAATCGGGTTCATATAAGGATCCGTCCATTCTACAGCAGTTGTTCAACTTGAGCGAATTGGCATCATGACGGAGTGGTTGAGTGTAGCTTACTCCGAAGTAATCCCAATTTCTTGCTTTTAGAAATTTGTTTTTTTTTCAGGAGAGTGAAAAATCGAAAAAGACAGTTGCATCGATGATAGAACGTCCAGCGGAACGTGCCGCCAAAATCATGAAAGAGAAGGAACAACAACAAAAAGCTGCAAAGCAGCAACAACTACAACAACAACAACAAGCTCCATTGCCATCCACCAAAGCAGCAAATAAACAAAAGGATTCATCTGTCTCATTCACCAGGTTAGCAATGCTTGTCAGAATTTGACAGAGGGATGTGTGATGTTTCTATTCATTCGTTCGTTTTTCATTGAACAGAAATTCTTAACGAGAGTTTGACAAATGGTAACTGATGAATAAAAATAGGAAAAATCATGTGATGGAAGTAGCTACAGCAAAGCGTTGGGGCTTGATTAGTTCGGCCGTCTTGAAAATAACACCACTGAGAAGAACTCACATCAGCAGCCTCCCCTTCTTCTCGCCTAATTTTTATAAAGTTGAGAGTTGACAGCTGATTCGAATACAACTTTCCAATAAGATGCTGATGAATTGAGATAGAGTGAACTGCATTTCCAGTGATGACGAATCGAACAAGAAAGAGACTGAAGCATCGCAGGTTTGCCCAAGTTCGCCGAAGACTGGCACCACTGATGATGAGGAGCTACAGCGTCGACGAGCGGAATTTTTCAAGAAAAAAGGAGGCGTTGTAAGTGCTGCTGCATCTAAGAAGTAAGCCTCTGTTGTGCATATGTCTCTGTTAAGTTTTTCTTAGTCATATCTGTTGAGTTCATTCACTTCCTCCTGTGATTGCTGTGAAGATGTATGGAAATGAGTACGGATACTTTAACTTTCGAGTGCACTGAGCAATGGTTTGATTCTAGATTTTAGACATATTGCGGACGGTGTATAGGAAACTGTGGAATTTTTTTGGTTTTGCGAAGAAAAACAAAAGAAATGTGCAAAAGAATAGAAATTCAAATGGTATTTTATGCTAGGAAAAGATGCGTTTGATTGTAATGCAGCATTGTGATCGCCGATCAAATTTCCATGCTAGGAATTAAGTGCACGAGATAAGTGTGGCATGGACCTTTAAATGAAGTCAGTGAAATGAGATTTTTGTCTTTTCAGAGGCGGCGCTGATTCCGATAAGTCATCAACAGAAGTGAAAAAAGGTAAACAAGCTCGTGTTTGGGGATTGGTTGCGGACGCGAACAAAATGGATATAGCATCATTGGATTATAGTAAGTTGAGCGATAAAAATGGCGCAGACGGGTCATCCGAGCACGAAGAGGATCATAAATTCATTGAAGAACAAGTTAGCTGCTACCTTATTCATGTCCTTCATTTATGCAGCAGCTCAACGAATGCTATCCGGTTGTTTTTTTCGTGAACTTTTTGTACAACATTTGTTAATTGTGATGTGATTGATGATGCGTTGCAGTCTTCGAATTTGAGTTGGTTGATTTATTTTGTCGGCTAACCTAATGCATCATTATTTCAAAAGTATTGGGGAAGCCGATTTTGTGAAATTGTTGATAGTTGTGTTCTTCGATAGATGCATCATTTATGAGTGGCGAATGCAAATAATCCAAAAAGAATATCTCAGAGGCAGTACGTTGGCCAGCTGAAAGGCGAACTACCTGGACTGGATGTGGATCAAAGTGAGGAGGAAAATGAGATCGATGACGAGGAGGATGATGATACCAAGTAGGGGTTTTCAACGTTGAATCGTTCATACAATCACCCAGTAGGCATTAGACGTCCTCCGCAATTCCTATTATTGTCGTGTATCCTGGTAGTTCCATGTAGTCCTGATGACTGAACTAAGTGCAAACATTGAAAATCGCTAAGTAATTATAATGTAATTCCGTTTCACAATGCTGCCGTGTTCTGTCGCATCAGCAACCCATTTTGAGATCGTTAATAAGACGGTATATGTGAAACTAATTCTCTATCGTCACATAATCGCATATCTCATCATACCACCTCAAGTTATGCAATCAGTTTATTTCACAAATGTACACTCCTGATTCAGCGTTGCTACTATGCGATATTACAAGCAGTCATTTGTAGTATTTGGACGTTGTATGGTGCTAACGTTGGTTTCTCGTTCTGGACCTGATTTAGTTCATATACTGCTGGAATATGAATAGCGGTAAAATTTCATTGCAGTAAGGGCACGAAAAGCGAGAGCAAATCTGGTGGTGGATGGTTTTCAGCATTCAAATCACTTGTTGGTAACAAGAAACTCACTGCTGAGGATATTCAGCCAGCACTCGACAAAATGCGTGATACACTCATTGGTTTGTTTGCATACATTATATGGTCGAATTTTCAGGTCATAGAATATTATGTGTGTGGGTGGCATCGATTATTGGACTGAGTGCATTTTATGTAGTGTTCACCAATTATATTTTTGTACTTTTCAGGATTATTTAGTATTATTAATTTTTTAATGCCGTTCACTTACATTACTTATATCAGGTAAAATTGTTTACTGAACATGAACTTGTGCTCTTGAAATTAGTAAACGAACAATAAATTATTTCAAAGAATAGCGCATTTTCGAAGTGACATGAGGAATTTTTTTTGCTTCTGCAAAGAAGTGGTGACGAAGTGATTTCCGTTAATAGTGAGAAGGTGAATACTAATAATGAGCTGTAATATAATCGCCGATTTAATAATTGATTGTGTATAATCGTTCTGTGTTTCATTTGTTCGATGGTTGCAGGAAAGAACGTAGCCGCAGAGCCGGCTGATAAGCTTTGCGAGTCGGTAGGGGTGAAGCTCGAAGGTAAGGTGGTCGGTTCGTTCAGTCGTGTGGCGAGTATTGTGCGAGAGGCGTTTCGTGAGTCTCTTGTACAGGTGAGCTGTTGTTGTTTGTGTAGTTCTTTTTCAATGTCTGCCTTATGAAATTGTTCTGCCGTTATTGGAACGAGCAGTTGTTTTTTTTTTTTNTTTTTTTTTGAACGGAAGGAATTGAGAATGACCTCAGAAATTTCCGCCATTGCTTCGACATTTGGCGTTGATGTTAGCTAACCGAGATTTTGTTTCACTTCGAAACGTTTCGGAGACGTATTTTCGTGCTTTTTTTTCTCTGCTTCATTTGATCAGTTGTCGTTTGATAGTGTTACTAGTGTCCGTCCATCAACGATTGTTTGGTTGTTTTCATTGGCTCAGTTGTCTTCTCATTTTCATGACTCATTCCACTGTGATGAGTGGCGGTGTTCTTGAAGTGTATCGTTGAATGATATTTTATAATGTTCGATTGATCCAGAAATTGATCCATTTGATTTTCAATGAGTTTTTCAGTTGCTGACACCAAAACGTCGAGTTGATATTCTTCGTGATGTACTCGAAGCGAAGCGGGAACATCGTCCCTATGTGATCGTGTTTTGTGGTGTCAATGGGGTGGGGAAATCAACAAATTTAGCCAAAATTACATTTTGGTTGAATGAAAATGGTTGGTCAGCTTTCCTGAGCCTTACGTTATTGGTACCTGTATGAGGGCGATACGCAAAAGAAACCTGTGAAATGTTCATGCATTCCCTCAAGTTCCTCTACTACCAAAAGTGTTCGAAGAAAGTACTCACTCATTCGAAAGATGAATTAAAAACTGATTAGAAGAAAGATATTAAGAAGTAATATAGTCGTATTTGTGTGGAAATTTTGCTAATAAAGTTGCCAAAAACCCTATTGTGCAGTTGAAGCGGCCTTATGACAATGAAAAATTCGATTGTCATAACGCTTTTGATATCTATAATAGTGTTCGAAAATCCGTAATTAATAATACGTTATCACATTGTTATGTATTGCTATGTCAATTTTAAATGAGTGATTCTTTTGTGTTTGTTGTTTGTGTGTTCGTCGTGGGGCATTTAAGCCTATCAATAAACATTCACTGTTCAGTTGATAAGCATCAGAAATTCGTTTTAATTGATTGAGAATTTATTTAGGCTATCGTGTTCTCATCGCCGCTGGCGACACGTTCCGTGCAGGTGCTGTAGAGCAATTGCGGACGCACACGAAACATTTGAATTCACTCCATCCGAACAGTGTGCAACTGTATGAGCAAGGCTATGGCAAAGATCCAGCTGGACTGGCTGCAGCAGCAATTGCGATCGGTTGGTTCCTTTTCTGCTATTTCCGTTCTCTTTTGATCGTTCCAACTTCACTCGTTTCCGTTCTCAGTTCATTAACCTGACCTATCCATCGAGTATCTCGTGCTCGTGTGCTGAATGAATATAATTAGTGTTAAATTATGAATACTTCTCTTGGTAGAGTGTCCAATGCCGTCATTCATTCGGTTGAATGCAAATTAAGGAATTAATGGTATTTCTGGAATATATGGTGATTTTGATCAGAATATTCAGTTGTTTTAATAAATACTTGTGAGAACGGAGATGAGGATTTGCAGCTGAGTATTCAGGAGTCAAAAAAAACCTCCGTTTGTGCTTATGTATGTGTATGTATTCAAACAAGGATTTTTTTCTGATAAACTGATTGTTTTTCAGCAGTTGAACGTAGTATTGACGTTGTATTGGTGGATACAGCTGGTAGAATGCAGGACAACGAACCACTGATGAGATCACTCGCAAAGGTTAATATTAATACGCTCCTCCACATTTTTAGTTGCGATGTCATCGTCTTTCTATCAGATCAATGCAACCGTTATTATTGCTGTTATTATCATTGCTTTTGTTCTATCATTATCTGCGTTATTATGAAAATAATGTTTACTTTATGAGCTGACTGAGTAGGTATTTTTGCTATTTGTGAGTTATTTACAATTGGATGCCGTGGTTGTGACAGTGTACAATTTTTTTGTGAATATTAGCAAGTGACCAAATTGAGCATCATCATTTTGAATTCTTTTGGATAGTCGTCAGTTCGCGCGTAATAGTAGGATTGCAGTTGATTCATATAAATGAGCCGGATTTGGTTCTATTTGTTGGTGAGGCATTGGTCGGCAATGATGCGGTTGATCAGTTGGTTAAGTTCAATCAAGCGCTCGCTGATCATGCGGCATTGGGTGCAGATGCTCGTCTCATTGATGGCATTGTTCTCACCAAATTTGATACCATCGATGACAAGGTTTGTATACCGGTCGCTTTTTGGTGCCTCGAGATTCTCGAGGCACTAGTCTGGTTCATGTTCATTTGTTAGAGGTTAAGGTTTCTGAAAAGAGGGCCAAGTAGCAATATTCACATTCAAAGGTGTTTTCTTTGCCATTGGCTTAAATCTCTAAAAGATGAGCCACGCAAAGGGAAAGTTCAAAACCGTAGTTTTGTCAAAACGCGTCATACATTTGATGTATTGTAGTTGAATAATCCGCAGACAATGGAGAGTTTGAATTATTTCCATCTTCATGATATTTGCCTCAATTTGATGTTGTTAAACTGCAGGTCGGCGCCGCGATTTCGATGACTTATATAACCGGTCAGCCGATAGTGTTCGTTGGAACTGGACAGACGTACAACGATTTGAAGAACTTGAACGCCAATGCTGTTGTTCATTCACTGCTCAAATGATACTTTTTAATGATTCATCATGTTCTGATCCACTTTGAATATTGTTAATGTGGATATTAATCTTTGAATATGTATATCCTCCGTTCTGTCTTCGAATACGAAATGAACTTCAAACTATTTTTCAGGTTTGGTAAAAGGATTATTACGTTATTCCTTCCATACTTCTCTTTCTTTTTATTGGCCGTGATGAAACACGTTTCCTTTTTGGTTGTTTTGAAGGGAGTAATTGTTTGCTTAAAACATTCATTGTGTTTAAAACATGTGCACTGGATGTTCTTAAGGTCGTTTCTAGAAATATTCTCGGTTAATGGTTCCTTGAATTTCGAGTTTTCAGTCTCAGTTCTGAATTATGAATTGCACCGTTTACTCAGTCAGCATTCTGTCTTTACCATCTTTTGGTTGTTTATTTCTCTCATACTGTGATAATTTTTTGTTTTTTTTTTCGCTTCATTTATCTTCTTTGATTGAATTGTCGATGTGTATTTTTTGATATCGATAAGTCACCAAATCGAGTGTTTTGATTGTTGATATATTACGTGCGTGTGATTGTTTGTTAATTATTTATTTGTTTATATTTCTTGTCTTTCTGTGGTGATCTGTTTCTCTAACGAATCTTTAATTCAGATTCAGTTGATGAAATTTCAACTGAACGAATGCCACAAAATATCTGTTTTCATAGAATTCTTTCACCAAATTCTCATGGAACTAAAAGAGGAAAACGAATGAACTCAACATCAAATGGCATCCATCTCATCTACTTGTTTCTGACAGTTACGTGTTTCTGAAAAATTTGAATGTAGAACACGATTGTTGCACTCCCCGTAATAAAGCGCAGAAGTGCTCAAAAGAATCGCGCGACCAAACTTATTTTCATGGCACAATTTCCCCATAATTCATTTCCGGGTTGTTCAGTGTTATTGATAACATTCGATAATAATGCGCAGTCGGTGCAGATAATGAAAGCACATTTTCGTGGTAAAAAAAATTGCTTCATGATGAGGCAGGTTCGCATGTATGCCGGCAGATTGGAGGTCGAAGAAAGGACTAAAAAGGCGAATCTATATGAATTTGTTACCTGACAAAGTTTCTCATCACCTACAAGCTTGATGTTAAAGTCAAGGAGAGTATTTCCGAAGTGAGAAAGGATGCAGGAATGACAATTCTCCACTCGATTCTAACTGCCATTAAGATATTTAGCAAATGTGCCCTACTACGGTAAAGGGGTATGGTGCGCAAGGATGGCATGCATGTTCAATGCGGTCGGTGGTCTTTGTGGTGATGTGTAGGACAAAATTACACGAACGTTTGCTGTTTTAGGTGCAGAAATGGAGTCCATTCGAAGAAGAATGCGTTACCGTTATTCCTGCACGACAATAGGCAACATCACTCGTAACTTTGTTACTCTCACTTGTTCTAATTGATCACAACAAATCAGTTACGAACAAACGTCCTGAGATGTTTTCCATCACTTGTTCTGTCATTCACCCACAATTCTTATTTTAATCATCCGTAAGATTCCCAGCACAACATTGATAAATAGATAAAATTGATCATTAAGGCCTTTCAGAAGATTGAAGTTAATGCCTAGTGTGTTTAGGGGTAAATGCCTTATTGAGATGATCTTCAAGTACTAGTCCTGCAAACATCTGAAAAAATATCATTCAGGCAATAGCGGTTAATGTATTGATCTTAGATAATCTTTCAACAAATCTTCGCAACACACTAGAGATTAACTTGCTGATGTGCTTTTCTTGCACACCTTACATGCTCATTTCACGTGTTACTTCGTATCTACATTTAGCGTATTGTTCAGTTTCATGGGAATGTTTCTGAATAAAACGGATATTAATCTGAGCAGCTCACTCATCACTCACTTTGTTAGATTCATCGGGCAGTGAGTCACAAGTTAGGCATCCAATTTTATCGGTACGAAGATAAATTTCGAATGTATTCCATGTGGATATCTCGGTTAAATGCGTCAAAAACGTGACGAAACACATCCCACACTAACTACGTACCACGATAAAATCATGTGTGCCTGCGATCTGCTGGAGGCTAGTGTTGTGCAGGAGTCCTCGAATTCGGGGTTCCCGTCTCCGTCTCCGACCATTTTTGAGCGACGGCCATTTTCGGGGATTGTCCCCGTCCCCGACCATTTTCCAGCGGCGGCCATTTTCAGAAACTCTCCCCGTCCCCGTTCCCGACTTCTCCAGAACTGTCGGCTCTCCCCGGAATATCGGGGAGACTCTCCGAAATTTCGGGGAGTCTCCCCGAAACTCCCCGAAAAAGCTGAATTCGAATTTCGCATGTTGCCGTTTAAGGTCCCACTACCATTCTGTCTCAGCAAGGATGTACAGGAGATCCCGGGATTCCAATTCTGATCCCGACCCCGGGATTTAAGTTTTGAAAAATCACTGGATCAGCGGAGTTGATAAAGCAGGTCAATTTGTATTAGTTTTGATAGTGCGTCCATCTTGAAGCAAGTCTTAATCATTCCCAGCTCATTCATATACAGTCATCCTCGTTCTTTACCACCTATCATCGATGAAAAGTCTAGGAAATTGATACAAGTCAGACGAATGGCATGATCAACAACAGCTTGATAAACTTTTGCGTAGCATTTCATTGAATATTCAGCTGATTATTCTGCTCTTCATTAGTTTATGTCACGCTCATCTGGATGCATTTCTATGTAGACTAATGGAGATAATCACATTTTCTGATGAGAATCAAGAGCAATAAAATTCAGCGAAATTTTGAGTTCATGAATCCGTGTGTTAATTCCTTCCCACGATTCAGAATATTTCGAGAGCTGCACAGTGACATGTAATATGTCGGCATAGGTGAGTGTAGTAGAAAACTGCAGCAGTAGAGTGCGCATTCTCTTTTGCTTTTGTCATAATAAATTTTGCTATTTCTTTCAGAAACTGTATTTGTTGCTATTTTTTGCTAAACTCTAAAAACTGTGTTTGGTATGCAATTTTTTGCTAGTTTTGCCATTTTTTAAAATAAAATTTTGCTATTTTCAAAAACTCTATTCTCTCATGTGATTGAATAAAATAGTGTAAATAAAATTGCATTGCGCCTTTGCAGTTATCGCTTTTCTATCCTGAAGGTCTTGAATTTTATTTTTTTAAATCCTGAATTTAAATCCTTTTCCATCAAAAAATCATGTTTTAAAGGTCCTGCTGACTCTAGTTCCAAAGTCACGTTTTCGGGAAGTTTCGGGGACGGAGACGGGGAAGATTGAGTTTTCTCCCCGAAACTCCCCGTTCCGTCCCTGACCCATTTTGCTCTCCCCGCATAACACTACTGGAGGCTACTCTGCTGAACGGCATTTTACAACAGTGATTTTCTGGAATGTCATTCACAACGGTCTGCGGTCGATTCTTTCTAACAGAGTTGGTGTTTGAGGGGAAGGAACACTGCTCAGAATAGTGAAGTCATTTTGGCTCACAACATAACACTCGTAAGTAAGCATGGCCCAACACCGTTAAGAATGAATGTGAAATCTACACGAGGCTTTTGTCAACAATATATTTGAATAACAAATACACCATAGTCCAAATGATGATGTGAAAATGTTCATAGGAGATAAAAAGGATAAACATAGGAAGTAAACAATTCTTCGTATGAATCATGAGTCTTGGCGAATTAAAGTCCTTTATTGTAGTAAACAAGTGTGTGTTTCTTGCCAATCCTATCCTGAAGATCCTTCTCCAACTTGCTCACTTCAATGCAACTCCATTGCGGAAACAGTGCACAACACATTGGTGTCGACACTGTTAAAATTATTCCGGAAAGAACCGTTTGCATAATAACGTTCGCATAACGACTGCTCTGTAAAGTTGATATCAATGAACTCATTGTTAACTGAGTCGCCGCGTTAGTTATCCCGTAAATACTCGAACTTGTCATCTAATGAAGTCTGAAGATTGCATCAAAGTAACATCCAGTGTTGATTCCGCTCCTTCCTCAACCCCAGTAGTACTTAGTTGCTCTAATTGTGGTACAACCACTAGAAATACAGACGGACGTGCGTTCTTATTCTAAGAACGAAACGAAACGTATGAACACTCACTCGGTACCATTGTTTCTTCATCATGTGATGAGCGATTGCAGGAGTGATTACTGAAAGTTTAGTACTTTCAGTAAAACAACTGAGAGGAAACGAAAAAACAAAGATTACGTTATCACGGTGAAGTTTCCACTGAATAAAATTGCAAACAACCAAACGTGAAACTAAAACTGCATCATCACTAGTGAAGTTTTTAATGGCTGAAATGAAATTCTTGCTTGCTTCATCGAAAACAGAATGAAGGAATTGTTTTTATCACGTGGAATGTCATCAAAACTCACACATATGTGGAGTAGCTATACCAATTCGACTGATCACTACCTGCGATATTGCTCGCCGTACGACAACTCGACTACTACCCAGCTTGTTACCTTCTTTATCTGACACATCAATACCGTCTCGCAATTCGCTGAGAGAAAGAACAACAATATGCAGTGTACATGGAGAAGTTGAGATTGCTATGTTGAACGGAACAGTTTCATTAATCATAAGCAAAACGGCAATTTTGCTTGAATGCGAGATCAAAGCTGAGAATTTCTGTTGCAAAGGTGCATGGTTTGAAACGTACAAAATGGCTTCAACTTATGACCAAACAATTCCCTCGTGGATACTCAGTCTCAATGAGCATTCCATAAAAACGAGATCATAATCGGACATAAGATAACGTACACGTTTCTCATCAGCGGTATATTGATGGCATTTGCCACTGCAATTGCGATGAACGGTACGAAACGTTGAATTAGTGGGTGCAGATTCTGAAACGTCTCAACTTAATTAGCATTCGCAATTTCATCGCTTATCAAAGATTTCAGTTTCATTTCCACTAGATTTTTGGTCTTTATGATTTTAAATCGTCATGAAATTACGGCCGTCTCCTATTCTGATGTTAACAACTCAAAGGGGCGACAATCGCATGCATGGAATATACTATTCGTTCTGCATTGCAAGCAAATGAATCTATTGGAATTTGGATCTGTAACTTCGAAACCTTAACGATTGCGTTCAAACCCAACGCGGCTGTTACGGCTCCACCCGTAGCGCACACGTAAGCTGTTAATAAACCTTTTTTTGAGACTTCATTGTCGCCCGAGCGATTTGTCCAATTCACGATGGAATTAAATGACTGATTGATCCAATGCCAAAAGATCAGACCAGGTAAATGCCTGTAAATGATATGCCATAATGATGATTATGATTATGAACTTGAGGTAAGCTTGCAGAACTACACAAAATGAACATTTCAGACTATGACAATAGTTAATTTAAACCATTCGTTTCTAGTTAGCCTGCAGAATGGATAGAATTTAATAACGTTAATCGAAAATTCATTAACGATTGTGATAAAGTGATGAATTCGTATCACTCGTCATCATTAAGTTCAGTACAATCATCTGAATCGTTTCATATTCAAATTTAGACTCACTGATATGATGTAAGAAGACCACCCGTGATAATCATATTGCATGGGCACTGAGCGCTCATCCGTCCAATCAGTAGCATCTTCTCACCGGTTCTTGCGTGATATGCTGAATCGTAAAGGTTCTTCCTTCGCCATAATTCGTCAACAGTCATTTGACTATCGATGACGCCCTTCCTGAAATACTTTCATGATCCCTGACCGTTTCAAAAACATGCCGCTGCTTCAGGACTAATTGTCGCCACAGAAATTGGCAGTTTACTCGATTAACTCGACATCTACCTGTAATCAAGTACTGTCTTTTGAGCGAGTTCAATTTCAGATGTTGAATGAAAGAGGTTCATTGGATTTGCGGTGGCCCAATAATGTTGTAGGCGGCCCTGGTAGGTATTCTGAGGCCATCTGGGCTTCGAAATATCTGGTCGCTTTGATGCGGGTAATTCACCAAGCAATTCTGACATTGTGCCACATCTGAAATCTGAAAACATGATGAGTTCGTGAAGTTGTTGTACCCGACAAGATGATGTGAACACCTTGAAGTATCACTGAAATAGCAATTACTTTCACCCGATCTGAATGGTCATATCGATCGATGTTCATTCTTGAGTTTATTCTAAAGTTGCTCACAATTTTCGAAATGCCTCCTTCAGTGACATTTTCAAAATTTTCGAAAACTTCACTGATCTACTGACTTCCTGCGCAGTCTTGAACTGGCGAAGAACCACGTTGATTATAGACCCGTCTCATATTCAGATAAAGGGCTAAAACTGAGGGAATAACGTTTTCCTATAGAATATCACATTTTTCGATTTTTTTCGTCTACCCCGCTTCAAAAATCAACGACTCATCCTAACCAGCCGTTCCCTAACGATGCCTGTCCTAAACAATGCGAAGCGAACGAAAAATGCTCATCTAAATAGCAATAAAAAAATTACATTGAATAAACGATTTGCAATGTACTTGCAACGTCTTTGTACAATATGCAAAAATCAATCTGATAGAGGGTTAATGTTCCGAATAAGATATCATTTATTGACCGCAACGCATGCATCTATTAAAAAAGACCAATTCTTTGAGAGCATTCTGTTGAACGTTTTTATGATGGACCGTTGCGATCATTATTTAATTATTTATAAGCACTCATAATCAGACTTGTATGCTTGGAAGCAGCAGGTATATCGAAAAAGTAGATGTCGAAAAATGCAATGCAAAGTCAAAACGATAAAATGCATTGAACGATAGAATTTTATCGAAACAATGCTTATTTCAGCAAGAAGCTACTTATGAAAGAGTCATACAGGAAAAACTGAATGAGCCACATCAATTCCTAATCACAGTTTGTTTAAAATAATCACTTGCAAACGATTTCTTCAAAACGGTTAGAATCAATAAAACTTATTGCTGTTAGTTTTATTCATCATTATCTGCGAACTTCATGCTGCAAATGCTTATTTGGAGTTAAGGAGGGTATTTCCGAAGCAAGAAAGGATGAGAGCATATCAAAAGATATATAAACTCATTTCTCAACCATTCACGTTCATGTAACAACAATTCATGGCTTTCATACCAGTAAGGCGACTTCACCGGTCTGCATCACCTCTATTGTTAGATTTGTACAATTTGTTATAGAACAATATTATTTGAACACAAAACGATACGATTTGCAGACCTCGAAAAATCGTTTCTAATTTGTTGGACATCGTCGTGTCTGGTAAAGTATCGATGAAAAGTCAAAAGAGAAATTCTTTATCCGAATTTGATGCTTGTTCGTAGTATTGCCGTACGGCACTGAGATCTTCCATGTAGAAAACATGCATCATCGATAATTTACCGGTGCTAATAGATTGGGAGTAGTGTTAAGGAGTGACTCTTACAGATCCATTTAACTGATTATCCACTCTTTTTGAGCATAATTGTCATAGTTTGTTTCTGTACATGATTGTCATATGGTGCTTTTTGATATTCGATCAGACTTTGCATATTCCAAAAGTGATGATAGTGTTGTAGCAACAACAATGACAAATTTGAAGTCTTCTTCACTTGATAAAAACTAGCACACATTTTAAATTCCTCTCCAAATTTTTCCATATTGGCTAAATTACAGCAGTCTAAGCCTAATCAATTAGGTGTTGTTAATTTAAGTGTCGTAAGTTAAGCGACAGTACCATTATGCCGTTGATTGCAGCTAATACCGTCCATTCTATTCAAACTTTCATTACGCAGTTGTCATCATTCTGCACACCTTAACAACAATATCACACCTTAGTTGAACATTTGGCAAGGTTTTCTATTTGTCTGAAATTGTAGGGCGTTGTCGGTTTATCAAGTCACAATCTCAGCAGTTTAGGTAAACAAAATAAAAGAAATATTATGTTACTATTTTAGAGGCGTAAACGATATCAATATGATTGTTGTGTACAGTTGTATTGCATGACGTTATCATTGCGTCAGACATCATGACAAGCATTCTAAGATCAGCATAACACTATCATTGCAATTCACAATTTAGCATTGCAATAAACATGCTATGGTACCTTGAAATGATAAGAAAAGATGGCACTGACGCTATGGTAAACTCTGATCAATGTGCCTTTCACCAACATATTTTGTTGCTGCTAATAATTGATAACAATGATTGATAACCGTTCAGCAAGAGTATCTATTTCATTATTTACAAAGTGGGCAACTCTTCGATGACGATGGTTCATTTTTGTTTTCATTAATTAATATGAAGAAAAGTAAATTTGAAATTAAATCTTAGTTGTTCGTTCGTTCATTCGTTCGTGTTCTATCTGACAATTTCAACTGTCTTCTCTGTATCGTCCTTAAATAATTAAACGAATCTTGTGCTCAAACGGCGACTCTTTTTCGATTTTGATTTTTTAACAGTTTTTGAGCATATTTTTACGAACTTCACCTATCGTTCACCACCGTCAATAAAAACTTCATCGTTGAGTCGTGGATGAATAAAGAGGTGCTTCAATTCAAGTATATCGCATTTGTTTTGCCAGTTCATTTGATACGTACTACGTTGTCTATATGGAACTAACGGTTTTTGACCTCTTTCATAAGCATCATCCTCAGAGATTATCCGTTCCATTAAAGAGTCTTGCTTATGTTCTTCACGACTATTTGCTAAGCCAGGCTATCACAACTCTTCAAGTGTCATTTGACATCCAGCAATATGTGAACTGTTTCCTCAGACAACCTTGTTTATATTTTGTAGACCGCCTCTCAGCAATTTCACATGGTCACTCATCAGCAACATATGACGAAAGGTTCAAAAAATTGTTCCAGTGATTAGGAAGTTAGTTAGGAATATATCAGAAATTCACCATTGATATTTAAAAAATCACTTCCATGCGAAAAAAAAACGAAACATTATCGGACAGTCATGAAAACATGAAATGTTTAATTAATATAAATTTTCCAGCCTTCTGAATCTCTCTTTCGTATCCTCCAATCCTCCCGTATAGTCAGTTTCCCACTTATGAAGAAAACTGTGGAAGGTAGAAGCTGTATCACAAAAAAAACAACGCAAAAACCGAATGAATGACGCTGATGAATTATGCGAGAGAACAATGTATACGGTCGTCGGTCTTAATGAATTGCAGTTGATGCTTATCTAAATATTTGCATAATTTCAGGTGTATCGCTATACTAATTTCATGCTTCGTTACAGATTCAGTTCAATCCGCAAACGAATATCCATCTGAATTTTCAAATTTCCAGTATTTTCAAACTTCTGTCAAAAGCGATCGTTGCTCTCTGCTAATGGAACGTATGTAATTTCAGCCGTTAATTCGTTTCATAATCCATGTTACAAAGTCATTTCAAAAATGTCGTAGACACGCAAGAATGGCGTGAGTCGTGAATGGTAGATGTTAGCAGTTCGAATGAATGTTTGAAAACATCGAACAAAAATTAAGAGCATAATGGTTCGAACAAGGAGAGCATTTGAAACTAAATGCTTCACTTCGAACTAACTGAATATTATCGCTCATCAACATTGCTGATTTGATGCAGTCGAGAAAAATATTCGTTTCATCTGGAACCATTCAACTGTTGAATTACCACTGCAAATCTCACCTCTTTAATCGATATTACCACTTCGTATCCCGCTTCGTGGAAGGCAGTTGGTGATACGAAACTTTTGTATGGTGATTTCAATGACATATTCTAATACGTTTTCTTGTTGAGAACAACCGCTGATCATGCATTTGATCACGATATCGTCTTCTCACTGATTTTGTTCGATTCAAGTACCATTTTGCAGCACCTTAGAGATTGTTTGCAGGCGATAATGATAAAAAATGAATGTTACATGTGAATATGTGGACGATGTACTGATTAAATGAAACAATTTATTTTGCAGTGAGTCATGAATGATAAGTATCAGCAGTTCGAAGGAATGTTCGAAAAACGTCGAGCAAAAATGAATGAGATAATGAAAATTAGGCGGAGCATTTGAAAATTAAGTGCTTTCGAAGTGAGTCATGAAGAATAGATAAGATTCAAATTTACTTCGTATGTTGTTGGTTGTCTTCAACAACATACCAAAAAATTTGAATCTTTCGGATTGCACACAGAAAGCAATGCTGCAGTTCTCTTTCAGCGAATGTATCCGTTGTTCAAATTACAATGAACATTGCCATATTTATTTTTGCTTTCCAACTTGCTGATATTCAAATTTTCGGAGAATTTTCCTCACGAAAACTTATCTCTCCTTGCAAGAGAATTCCAATGCGATTTTCTGCGGGAATTATCTTACAAATTCTCGAAAGCATGCCTTCAAATGAAATTCATGAACAAAATGTGACCGATTGGATGTTATTGTTCAGAAAACGGATCGTATTACAAAGGTAAGTACATCTCATGGTAGGGTTAGTGGATGGTCGGTATTCGCTCCAGAAGCTACATTATCAGAAACTTATCAGTGATTGTCTTGAAACAGGAGCTGAAGTTCTCGTTGCGGCATTAGATGCCTAAAGCAGCTGCACATAATGATTTCTTTGCAGCACCAAACCCGTACACCGCAGACCGTTTCCTGAAGGAAGTTCAAGTGACTGAAGTAGAGAACCGAACCCAGGTTCGTTACGACATCGTCAACTTTGGAGAGTTCCGCTATGCTGAAGCACGTTTTGGAGGATGGCAGCTTTCGAGAGGACTTAGATTTCGGGTCAAAGTTCATATAATCGGAGCATCGAAAGGGTGAGTCAGCTTTCGTGCAATTTGCTTTCAAACGTTCATATTGACGGTTTCATAATGCTGTGCATTATTCATGGGTCTCGTATGCTTATTTTGTTGCAATTAACCGGCTAAAGTGGTTATTCTTGGGAAGAGTGTAGGAGGGTTTTTTCGGTGTTCCTCAGGAAAGTGGTGGATGGAAGACTCCAGGTAGACCTGTTTCTTTGCTCCAGAATCGGCTTTTTCACTCATTACCTTAGAAAGGACTCGCATTAATCATATGAGGAATGAGTTCAGTTTTTACAACATTCTCCGATTCTTTACAGCTAGCATGACAATTGTGCGTGATTAGTTGAAGTCCGAGAGCGAATACAGAAAGGATCAGTTCATATGGATTTCAGAAACCAATCGACATTTGCAATAAGGCTTCGATTATCAGCATCACCTGAAATTCCGTGAAATATAAAGTTCAGCGAATCGACTTTTGTAATGACTTTCAATACTGTAAATTAGACAAGATTACAAGTGTTTATGGAATAGCTACAAAATCATGTATGCAACGAAGCGAATGATTCATTTATCAATGAGCAGACTGATCTGCTGAAGGATTTAACCACGCAACCGCCAAACGTAATTGCATGCGTTAAGAGTAAATTTGAACCACACAGGATTTGAATCTGAGCTTATGTCTTTTAATTTGACAAGTAGAATACGACACTTTCGATGATTGCTATGAAGTTCACAAACATATCCTGAAATACGATGGACCAAAACAGCAGCCACTTTGCTGCAAGTTATTTTCACATCACTTTTGAGCGTCATTTTCTGTCAGTGAGGATCATTGAAGGACAACGATCGTGCTCAACAACCCTTCCCCAGAATCTTAAAAAAAACTAATGATCAATCCGAAGTATCACAAGCGTCTCTACATTGTTTTCGCACGGCTCTAACAATTTCTCATTGGTGGTACTCAATAATTCCATCAGAACGTGACAATATTGAGCTTTAAAATTTGCAACAACCCAACCAAAACAGTTCATATTCAAAACCATGGAATTCAAGCACTATCCGATGCTTGAATCGTCAATTATCAATCGTTGTTGTGAATGAGTAATCCAGTATTCATCGATAATCACACATCTCAGAGGCTATAATAAGAAGGAAATCCTGAACGGATATTGCATTCAGAGGACAAATAACATTCGAGTAATCACTGGTCCCAGAAACTAGAGGAGCATTGAAATATGGGATTGAGAATGTTGCTGCATTGTCAAATACTAACCAAATACAAAATATGATGCAAAAGTAATAATTTGAGATAGCATATAGACTTTAATGAATTGCTTTCCAACGTGACAAGATTAATGGTGAAATGTGATAGCGGTTAATATATTATACGTTCATCAAAAATTAAAGAGTACAGAAACAACGTAATTCCTCAAACAATGACACAAAGATCAGCATAGGGAAATGATAACAAACGTTTTAGTAGATGAACAGTTTAACCGTAAAAAATTATTTGATTAATCAACATAATCGAATTCTAAGCAAGTGCTTGCTTGTTTCGTGAAATTTAAGTGATCCTTTTTTTTCAGTGTATTTCTGTTCATTTATTTGGTCTTTGACAATGATCCATGGACTGGAAAATGGTCAGCTGATTTGCAGTGTTCGTTCCGCATCCTGTCGTTAAATGGAACAGGAGATTTGACGGGTGCCACAAAAACATACGCCCTTAGTAACAACAATTATTACATTGTTGCTGGATTCCCGGTCAATGTCAGCCAACAGTTCTGACTTCATTTTCCTTTTCATTCTCATATCATTAGTATAGATGCAAGTTTGTCTGGAAAAGGTTTATGTACAAGCCGATAGTGTAATGAAAAGGAATGTGTTACGCTAAATGAAAGCATAAAACGTGAATAAAGAAACTATGTACGCGTTTTGTACGCTGTTTTCGTTGTTGCGACTTAAGGCAGTTCGATGAGATAGATAATGAGTATTTGTTGAGGTAATTCGTAAAAAAGGAAGTGGTCTTGTAACTAGTACCGATACGGTTCGAATACAGGCTGACATCGAATGGGGCGGCGTTCAAATCGTCAACAATTATGAACAGGTAATTCAGGAATGCTCCATTGCAGCATTGCTTTACTAACAAATTTATTCCATACGGCCAGATGGGTTCTTTGGTTTCTCCTGGTTCATTTAAATCTACACTTATTTGAATTCATGAAGTATTCACTCAGTCACCATCGAATCATGCCAACACTCCACGAGGCTGTTAACGCACATTCTGTAAACCTCGTCTAGAGTGCGAAAATAAATGAGTACTTTTTACAAGTAAAATCTGCTCTAGCTCCAGCCTCATTCGTACGTTATTAGGCTGGAGCATAGCATCATCTTACTCACAATGCTCTATCAGTGCGCTGACGGCTATGGTCAATGAGTTGTCATTCGAAGAACTGATCAAACTGTATGCCTAGGATGGAATTAATTTATGTAAGAAATTGATGCACTGCATTTTACTGAATATAAAGCCTCCTTGAATAGAACAAATACATTTTCTCTTAACAGGCGCTAATAGTGTTGTTTCGTTCAAGATGTACACTGAATCTAGCAGCAGAAATTCTGCAAAAATAATGTGCATCCTTGAATAACGACCTTTCCGTTTTCATTTGAATATGAGGCCCTTCATACTGAGCTGTAAAAAACTGGAACTTCTGCACTTCTATTCAAACGAATGCGGCAGCATTTTAGTGATGGTCGTTGCAAGCAAAAATTTTACGCTGAAAATTAATTCAAAAAAAATTCGATTTATCGGAGAAAACAAGAAAAATGTGACAAAATCAATTAAAATTGATCCATTAAAATTGAATTACAGACAGAAAACGAAACAAAATCAATGGTAAAGCTGAACTCACAAACTGATTTAAATTTGTTCATCACACTGCGTAGTTGTAATAATTCTCAAAAGAAATTCGCTTGTACCGAGCTTGCCATCCTCAATGAAATGTAAACTTGATTCTCTCTTCAACGACTTCCCTCATCAATCATTATCAAACATTCGTTCTCCTAATGAACGTCAAGGTTCGATATTGTAATCCTAATGAGCGCATTGTTTTTTCAGTTACTGCAATATAAAGAGGATGTGAAGGTCAAGAATGCACTTAGCATACAAGTAAGCAATTAAGCTTTTGCTGGGAATATCGGCGTATTTTATAGTAAATTGAAAAATGAGTGAAAATTTGATCATGATAACCTTCCTCGAACGTTAATGTAATAGCTGGTTCAACGTTGGATGGCAATCTTTGAAATTCAACATAATAAAACTAGTAGTGAATCAGCATATGGTTAATCATTCTAGCCAAATGCTTTCTTTTGATTATTTGAGTTCATCAGTGCTTGCTTTCTCCTCCACATTGATTCCAAATGGAAGCGAAGAAAAGTGGATGCACGGTTGTTATTTGAGGAACGGGAAGAGTTGATACGTTTACGTTTAATGTCAAAAGACTTGCGTGAACGAAACGAAAAGCTTTTGAGAGAACGGGAGGATATTCTAAGACGTATCGACATTATCTGTCAAGGACAGCGGGCGGCCGAAGCGTATGCTGCAAAACTGAAGAAAGCGACTGAGGTAGGTGAATGTATCGGTGAACTGGCAAAACAAAATCAACATTAAAATTCGAAAAATACAAAGTGTTAAAAAAAAGTACAAATTCAAAAAATACGTTTTGAAGTGATCACTCGCTAATTTCTGATGATTTGTATTCCATTTTCTATTGTTTTGAGTTGATCCCTCCGTTAACATTCAATAGAACATTCAGTGATACTGCTGCTTGAAACTGCCAATAAGTGAATAATCAAAATCATTGATAATGTCGATAAGCAAAAGCAATGATACTTCTCGAAAAAAGCAATTCTCAAAACGTTGACTTTGCAAGAAAAGAAGAAATTGCATCGATTATCTTGGAATACAAATTTGCGCTGAAAAGACTCTTCAATTAATCCCAAATTATTCGCTCGTTTATAAACGCTTGCAAACGCACACTTTTCGAATGAAGTAATATAATAGGAAATAAGTACGACTGATAACTTTGTTTTTCATTTGAAATTCTTTCCTCCAATGGAACTCCAGTGGAACTTACTCACAAAAATATTTTATTCGGTTCAGTTATCTCAATAAAATGTGCTCTCATTCAGGAAATCATGCTAACGTATTCTGCTGTTGATGATCATTTTTCGCCAACCGATGATCATCAAAAGACTGCCGTCAAAGCACCAGTCAGGCCGTCAAGAGCTAGAGTCAAATCACCTGAATAAACTCTGCTCTGATCTATTAGTTCTTTGTGATTTTCATTTTTTCAATCATCATTATCATTTGCGATTAGTTTTCTGCTGTATTCTACCTGCATATTGTTGTAATAATCAGATGTGGTGAAATTCTTCAATTACATTTTTTTGGAGTAGTTTGACATCACAAGCCAAGTGAAATGGAACAAAAAGTAACGAAGAGTGAATGCGCTAAAGCGCTTTTAACAACGCTCACGATCAGTTGATTTTAGTGAACTTGCAATACGTGAGATAGTCAGTTTTTTACACAAGCAGGCCTTCAGGTTAGTGCCACCTCGATGACAAGATCAAAATGATAATTTGACTATTTCGGTTGATTCATTTCATCATTTCGTTCGAATTCTTAATGGGTTTAGAATTGGCACAGTCGATTCTCAGTTGATAGAGACCCCGTATATTTCAATTCGATTTGACAGCGTATATTTGACTTTGTCAATCATAGCTAATGAACAGCGTTAACGAAATATATGGAAACAAAAGTGAGTTTGACACGAAGAAAGTGGCATCAGAAGAAATGCATCTGCTCAATTGTTCACCATTCAAAACCACTGATCCAGTGATCAATTTCCGCTTGCCGACTCTTTCATTCGTCCTATACAAGAAGATTTCAATTTTGGATCATTTCAGTCAACTGCAATCGAAACTATACATTAGGACAATAATGCTTGTTAACTACTTAGTGCATACAGCTTTAAGCTACTCTACCACAAAGAAAATATTCTAAAGCTATGCCATAAGCATGTGCAACAACACAGCTCGAACTTTCACCAAGCTGTTCACAACACTGAACTGAAGCAATACGTTGAGATGGATACTGTTGGTATAACTGAAAAAATTTCCACGCAACCTCAAAACCAATAGTGAAATGGACAACAACAAAATTGCAAATGACGTTCACTGTATTAAGCTACTGAAAGCAAATGGCAACTGAGCTACTGTAAGTACATGTTCAAGCAAAATTTGATTTGTTTTTGTGAGTCTAAATGTTGTGAATACCGCATGAACATGAATTAAACAATAAAAACATAATCAATAAGTGAGTTGGTAAACAATAACAACCTGCATTCATGACCATTTCTTGCATTTTGCATTGCCGTGAATTATTTTTTTGGCTTAGGCTTAACAATAATCAAAAAACTTCGAAACGTCTTCAGCGCAATAGCTGTGTGATAGCAGTAGGGTAACCTTAAATTTTGATTTAAAGATAATATAATTGCAATATAAAAATGCTTCAATAACTTCAATCTTCTTCATTAGGATGCTATTCTGTAGAAACCACTGAAGACTTTTTTTTTNTTTTTTTTTCATTTTGCAATCATCTTCATCATCAGGATGAAAATGAAGATGATTGCAAAATGAAGAGGCTAATTGAAAACCATCAACCTATTTTCTAGACTGTTTTTTTCAACAAAAAAAAATAATCTCCTTTCACTTAGGAGCTAATTTAAAAAAAAACAGCTCAGAAAATCGTTGATCAGATCTGTTATGTCCACACTCCACAAACTGTTTAAGGCTCCATGAAGGACTTTCTGAGTGACTTCAAGAAGACGACACCCCTACTCATTTCACCAGTGTGTTCAAACGTTAGGGCATGTTATGATCAGTTGTCTTGATAAACACATGAAATAATGGAATCACTCGTATATATTGGTTCGTATGTGGCCATCGCTGAACTGATAATTATTGTACGGTAAAAACATTTTTGTAGTTATGCGACCAGCTGAGCATGTCACTTTTTCTTTCGATTTCTGTTAATTCGAACGATTGTGTTCGTTCGTGATGTGAAGTAATTTCGAAAATATTTCGTTGTTTAAAGCTATAAATTCTACGTCATAAAAAGTTTTCGTTGCTGGACGAGTTGAATGTACATGCAGTACATTTGTTTTGAAATATTAATTATTTAGTGTGTTTCTTATTATTTGAAGTAATTATAAGTGAATTTATAATATTTGTTGCGTGATCACTTAATTGCCAAAGTAATAATATTGAAGTAAAAGATTTTATGGAATGAGTTTGATAAAACAAAACTAGAGAAGTATTGAGAAATGATATTGTTGTTGATCAGCAATGTTTTGATCGATCGTTTGAAATCACCAATAGATGACCGATGAAACTTGTTATATTGTTTATTCTCATCTGATAGAATTTTCCAACAGCGAAATAAACTTTGAAACAAAAATCGCGTCTTCACTCGTATTTACTTCCTGAACTTCAACTGAAGCCTAGGATGTACCTAAGCCCTTGTTACTATTATTTGACTATAATAGCAAATATTGATGAGATAAATAATATGAATGGTAGAAATATGGATTAAAGATGAAACGTGAATTATGAATGACGAATGAAGGAATATGAATAATGAATATGAAAGAAATATGAATAATGAAATTTAAATGAGAAATATGAATCAGTGATGAATATATATTTATAAATGTAACGCGATCTATTGTTCTAGGTAAGATTAGATTTTGGTTGACTTTATGACCTTTAATTGAATCGATATTCACGTAAATGAATGACTGAGAAACAGCTTTGATGAACCAATTTGGAAAATTTTTGGTATCTTGCTTGACACAATTTACAATAAATAACTAACTGAACGCAGTACCATTCCTGATGTGTTGACGGATGAGGCGTGTGTTGACGGTTGATCGCAGTTGTTTAGTGGCATGGTTTGGTTAGAGATGTATCATTGGAATCGATCAAGAAGTGCACCCTTATGTAGGATCACAGTGTGGACAGAAAGGCTTATGTTGATGTCGAGACGTGGGTTGTTTTGGTTTAAAGGATACTGCGAGCCGCTTGAAATGAGGGGGTCATGTACAGGAATATTGTGGACTGTGACGGCGATGATGAAATGATTTGATAAGTNTCCGCACCAGTTGGATTGATGACGGTTACTTGTTGATACTTCACAATAACACTCAATATTGAATAATGACAAGATTGTAACGAGTATTAGTTTGAGGTCGGTACATTGACGATCGCAGATTGTACAATTTGATCAATTTGGAATTGATCAATTGGTTTTGCATTCTTTGAACTTGTATCGAATTTAGCGACTTGCTTGGATTGAATCTGTTCTCCACCTCAAACTTCGGTAATTAAACCATGACAACAATGAACAATGACAATCACGCGAACGTATCATACGAATGAAACATCTATTCGAATGACCATAATACATAAAATGAATACATAAAGTGATTTGTAAAGCAAATAAAGTTATTTGGAGAGGGAATGGACTGAACAGATTGGTTGTAATAGATTTTGTGGTTTTAGAATGCGAGTTTCGCGATCGGTGATTAATCGCGACAGCTCTAACGAAAAAATCAGCTGGAATCTAACTTTATTTTTGCAAGATATTTTTACTCTCGTTTATCACAGAATTTCCAGAATAAGTTCAATGCATTGCTGAACCTCACAACTCCGCCTGTTACCGAAATTTTCATCAGAAAAACGGTTGGTGCTGGTTAGTGTTGGTCTGACCTGTTCTAATCACCATACTGAGTTGAGTTTCATCTTATTTTTAACAATACCATGAAACTGCTCCTAAATATTGTCAACGACTGTGACTATCACGCCATTTTTGGAATCAAATGAATGGATGAAGTGGGTCTGAAGTAATCAGTTATTGAATTAAGTAGGACTGAAGTGAGTTCAAAGTGAGCACTTATTGAATTAAATTGCATTGAAGTGAGTTTGAAGCCAGCAGTTATTCAGTTAAACTGTGTTACTCCTATGTGATTAGTTGACTGCCTGCATGGGCAATCTCCGCCAAATCTTAATCCTATCAGTTTAGCAGTCCTTCCGCCAAGATGGTCCCCGTTTCCAACGCAAATTAGCACAATTATTGAATTAAATTAGCATAAGCAATCATTGAATTAAACTGAATTCTTCTGAAATGCTCGGAATGTAGTTTTAGAAATAGCGAACTTTTATATCACTGCTGTTTTTTGACTATTAAAGTTGTTAGTGAACGGGGTTTGCGTTAAGCTGTTTTCGTTTCAGCAACAGGCAAAAACGAAGATTTTTCCAACTCAGTTGAAGCTTAGAAGGTTTTCCCTATCAATTGCGGTTGCTACTATTACTGCGATTACTCGCAATGTAACTCTTTTCACATGTATTATGCATCGTAATGACATTCATCATTGCTGCAATTATCATTGTGATTAAAATTATTATTGTTATTATTATTATTATCATCTGTTATTATTATCGCTTATTATTGTTATTATTATTGTTATTATTATTATTATATTATTATTATATCATTATTATTATTATATTATTATTATTATTATATTATTATATAATAATATTATATTATTATATAATAATAATACTACTAATAATAATAATAATAATTGTTATTATTATTATTACTGTGATTGTTATTTCTTTA